CCCAAGATCTTGTTAAACGCACGGAAGAAATCGGACATGAAACCGGGTTCTCGATCATGTCGGATCATCTCACTGTCACCAAATCGCCGAAATACACACTCCTTGTACGATTCCGCAACCGTCTGGGCCGACCGGGACGAGCTGGCCTTCGCGATCACATATCCTGTGAACAGATCGACCCAGATCAATAATTCAGTGTTCCCCTTGTGAGATCTGGGTAGCGACGGTATGCGATCCATCGCAATAATCTGGAACGGGTACATCACCTGCAAGTTCCCCGGTGATTCCCCCCGGATCACCGGTTTTCCTTTTCCTGTCTCGCAATCCACGCATTCCCCCACATATCCTTGAACACTCCGGTATAATCCCCTCCAATGGAAGTGATCCTTGATCCGCTGGTAGGTTCACCCCACTCCTTGATGCCCTCCTTCCAACGTGGTGGGATAGTGGTGTAAAACGTCCGACTGTAGCGTTTCGGGGACTACCAATCTCATTAATCGGTCGCGTTCGTCTCCCGATCTTGGCGTGGGAGGGCAGTAAAAGAGTAGATCCTGCCCAACCAGCTCGAGTGGTCACCGCGGCAACTCGTACCACCGGATTGTCGGTCTTAGGGTTTAAGATTTCGTCTAACCGGCTGCCCGACCAGCTCGAGTGGTCACCGCGGCAACTCGTACCACCGGATTGTCGGTCTTAGGGTTTAAGATTTCGTCTAACCGGTTCAGGGTAACCATATCTTGGTACCCGGGACCTTCCTGGACCTCGATTCTCCCTTGTCATTGGAAAGCGGCCCTTGCTAGACTGTCGGCACTTCTGTTCCAGTCCCTTTCGACGTGAACCAACTCATGATCACTCCATCTCCTCAAGCAATCGAGGGCTTTCGTTTCAATAGCGTCAGGCCGGGTGCTTTGCAGTCGATCTCACCCCGTACTTGTCGAATCACCAGGTTAGAATCCCCGCAGACCACCATACGCCTGCGATCTAAGCTCTCTAGCCTGTCGAGCCCCAGGATCAGGCCTCGTTCACGGTGAGGCACTCGAGATAGCCTGATCTGGCCTTGATCACCTCTCATCTGGACAGACTCTACACGATCGCACTGAACGCGCCCCCACCGCGCTTAACTCAAAACGGATCCCTCATAGTTCCTCGTCTCGATCTACGGTGGGTATCGGCGCTTGGATCCAGCGTTTAGGCTCTTTGCGGGGAGCGATTTCGGCAAGAGCGTCGTCGTTCTTCGCCCTCGGTGTGATGCTAGCAGCGATCGCCCCCAGTATCTCATCCTCACCCTTCGTGCACTTCGTGATCTCGAGTGTCCATGGGGCCAGGAGGGCAGACCATTGTCCCAGGCGACCCTGTAATCCCGTCGACTTGAACAGCCAGGTCAACTAGAATCCCTCGTCGGGGCCCGGATCTTGCGTCCTACTAGCAAATTGTAATAGAGATCCAATATCCTCAGCAACGCCAACACCTCTTTCTCAGTCATATTGTAATTCAGCTCGTTCGTCCTCAAGGTGCGACTGGCGAACGCCACCGGATGGTAGATCCCGTCGTGTTCTTGCGTCAACGAAGCGGATATCGCCCAATCACTGGCATATACGATAACCACCGGCGGTCTCGTCTCGTCGAAGTGGCAGAGGACCGTGGTCGTCGCAATCTTGGTTTTCAGGGCGATGAAGGCCCTATGTGCCCTGATCCACCTCTCATCCACTGGTCCCGTCAACTTCAATTCCGGTGGGTCGTGATTTCGAGAGATCGGGTCATTCCGGACTAAGATCTGCCTCAGATCCAATCGTTTCTCTAGTTCTGCAAACTCCACTTCACGTAATTCGTAGAGTACCGAGGCATAGATAGCGTAATCCTCGATGAATCGGCTGTAGTAATTTAGACTGCCCAGGAATGATTGCATAGATCGCAGTGATCCGGGGAACGGCAGGTCGGTTAACGATTTCAGGTCTTTTGGGCTCGCCTCCAAACCTCCGATCGACACTCGGTGTCCTAGATATCCCACCTTATCCATGCCCCCAAAGCCCTTGGCTACACTGATCGACAAATTCCACTTATCACAACCTTCCAACAGATCTTCCACTCTTCGGCACATTTGATCCCATGATTCCGCCCCGATCATGATGTCGTCGATGTATGATCTCCGACCCAACACCGCCCGATCAGGATCGTCCGCGATCCTGGTCTGGAACACGTCCGTTGTAGCTAGCGTCGCCTTACCGCGAGATCTTCAAAATTCCATACGACGCGTTGTCTACGAGGCGCTGATAAATCTGCGGGGCATTCTTAAGACCAAAAGGCATG